CTCAGAGGTTGAATTGTAAAAATATTCCTGACATTTTTATATTGCTATTTTTATAAGTAACATATAACGGTACTGTGTTCTATTGAACACTAAACGTTACCATTCTTATTTTAAACGTTACAATATCAAAAGCTATTTTAACACCAAAGATAACGTTCTAATAGAATAAATCCATAAAGTAAATAAATGTATTTACTTCAAATCTAGAAGAAAAAATTACTAAATAATAATATAGTATAAAAATAAAATCTATATAAAAATAATCATTCTCAGTATATGTGTTGATTATTACCACACATATAATTTATCTAATGAATAACATGCCACGCGAAGTATTAAAGAATTATTTACATTAATTAATTAATTAATTATTACTTTGTCGAAACATTCGATTCTCATTAATTATTAGGCCGGTTTCACTACTCGTTGAACGTTTAATTATATTATAGTAAGATTAAATGCAATAGCTCAGCAGATTTGTACAGCATAAACATTCGTATAAAGTTTATAAAAAGAAGTTTATTAAAGGGACCTGTTAAATAAAGCGCGGGAATGACCTTTAGTAGCTGATGTATAGATTATAGTCGTCACAGACTCAAGAAAGGAAAAAAAAGAATAAAACATCAAGAATAGCAATAACATATTATTTTCTGTGTCGTACTGTAATGATCATATTTTATTTTTTATTAGTTCAACGAAATTAAAATATAATTCATAATTTTCGATTGTATAAAGAACTAGCTGGTGTCCGCGACTTCGTTCGCGTGGAATTTGAAAAGCGCTCCTTTAGTGAGTTCGATTCCTGGACAGGGCAAAATTTTATAGGATTTTCTGAGAAAAATAGCCAATACTTACTTAATCAATAGTTACTTCTTGTGTAGACAGTTGAATGGTAGTAAAGTATTATCAAAAACGGTAAAGCCATTTTGAAGATTTAGCATTTGATACGTCATATATATTGTTTAATACTGACGAGGAGGAGACGATAGAGGAGAATGAAAGAAGGGAACTCATTGGGTCAACCCCAAATAAAGCTGGGATAAGTGCAAGTAGAGTATAAACATTAACTGTTTTAATCTTTGATATTGGCATTTTCACTCATTTCTTTTACGGTAAAAAGTAAAAAAATATACTATTTAAACACAGATGTTGGTGCATCTCGTAACAGAGTTGTACTCTCAACAGTGAGAGTACAGAAACCGCACTCTCTATAATCTCTCTCTATTTTCATTGTATATACGAGTATATAAAATAATAAAAATAACCTCAGAAATCTCACATACGGCCTTCTGATCCCAAACTACTATGGTAACCAGACTGCAGACAAACATATTTATATATTTCTAAATACATACATATCATAGATAAATCACACCCAGACACAGAATAAATCATCGTGCGCATCACACAGTTATTAATCCTGGGTGGGAATCGAACCCACGACCTCCGGCTTAGCAGTCATGGTCACTAACCACAAAACCAACAGGCCCGTCCCAAAAAGTTATAATTGAATAAATATAGAACACAAATCTGCTAGTTATTGCGTAATTAAAATACGCCATAATTGACTACAAACGATAATACAATCGATATGGATAATATACAACCATAATGATAAAACAGTAGTACAAGTCCATGTATATTTAGATATTATGATACTTATACATAGGAGATGGTCGAAAGTACTGATTTGCCTTTAATGACTTAAAGTAACTACAATTTCTACGGATATACGGATGATGGGTGACTAATACAATTTGATTCGTGCAGTGTGAAGTCAAACCATGAGTTCCTATATCAGTATAGGGTTTGTATGACTGTAAACCATGGGTGACGTCATTAGAATATGGTTCAGTGGGACCCTAAACCGTGGCGACGTCATCGGAATAGGGCTTGTCATACAAGCCCTATTCCCATGACTCTCTTAAGGTTAAGTTCATCATTGTGTAACTCTTAATTTAAAGGTCATCAGGATAGAGTTTCCTATATCCATGGTGAAGTCATCAAAAGAGATAGTGACGATCAAGACAGAGCTCCGACATATTGCATTTTTCTGATATAGTGTATTTTGTGGATTTCAGACAATATAGGTATTTTTGCAAGTTTTTGATTGGAGTTCCACTATCCTAAGTATAGAATAATCTTACGTTAATATAGAATTTATTAAAATAGGAATAAATTATTGTGCGAAGAAGTCCACGATATAATATGATAAAGATATGAGTTGATACATAACGCTGTTGTTATTTAACGCTAAGAAATCTAATAAATACATTACGTAACACTATTTATAATTTAAATATTACGTTTAATCCTTTTCTATCAATATACATATATATATATACATGTTTTTAGTACATATTTTGAATTTTAACATATACATACAATTTATAAATATTATTTAATACGAAGTAAGCGAGTTCTTTGTATTTGCGTTATATTTATGAACATATGAATTGTTAGTTAATTATTATAGGAAACTAAAAATATTCTTACAATCACTTTAAATAGTAAAATGTAAATAATTTCCGTAGAAACAGGTACCAACAATGGATTTCTTTCTAAATACTACAAATGACGTAAGATATTTTATTTTTATAATTTATAAAGATAATTTTATTTATATGATACAATGAAGTCAAGTGGAAAGTTATAAAGGGATGGCTGTGTTTTAGATAATATACCTACGTACTTATGTTTATAAAATAAATATATTATTTAAAAAAACATTTTAAATTTATTTATTCCATAGACACGCGTAGACACGGTACTATTAAAAAAAATCGTTTACGCAAAGACACAAACACTGACAGTACAGTGCTTTGGCACCTCAACAAAGGACAAGAATCGTACATTTTCAAATAATTTCTACAAATCTACGTTTATTGCAAAGATTACGGTCCAGCAGATTATTTAAACCACAGTTATTTAAACCGTTCACTTACACTAATTAGTTATATAGTTACTATTAGTTGCTGATAAAATAGCAATGTCATTGCGCTAACTAGGGCTGAATAACTCACTAAGGTTCAGCACAACCAGAACATGTTCGTGGGCAGAACTTAGATGATTCTGATATGTTGAGTTACTAACACACTATTATAATAATTATTCATATTTACAGTGATTTTAATTTATTAATTAAAAATCACAGAATTTATCGAGTTTATAATTTAGCGAATAAATTCGGAGAAGTATAACCAGTCTCAATACTCGATCATAAAACCTTGTTTGAGATGATTTATCGATATTTACAATTATTTTACAGTCCTTCACAAACAGCGTATCAATTATATATTTATTATACATTCATATCATGATATAATATATGAAGAAACTAAATAATAATAAGAATATTGAATTTATTATGCAAAATATATTTTTATGCAATAAATAAAATATAGAAATATAATAAACAAGTGATTTATAAATGAAAAAAATAACGTCACAGTACAAACGAACTCGACATATAATTTATTAAATCTGGACACACATTACCTTATACTTACAAATGATACATGAAGCTCATTTAATTTATCAATTTTTCATCCCTCACGACCGCGACGACGATAAATAAACTATTTCAAACACCAGTCACGTGGTTCGGAACGCTCCCTTCCCTTGCTTTACTGACCACACACGTTTAAACATTACTAACGGCAAACTGTAGAATAACAAAGTCCTAAATACAAAGGACACAAACTTCATATCAAATAACTTTAAACCTTAGGACCTTCGGCAACAACCTCAGACTACGCTGAACACATGATACCCTCGGAAATGTACTCACAACAACATCACAACTGGCGACATTAATACATGAACATCGGTGCCAATTCTCTAGTTAAAAAAACTGTACACATAACTAAAAAACACTAAAATTTAGTTTAGTCTTGCCAAATAACTAAGGAGGACTAAATTTAGTGACAGAACCAAAACTATGTAACTCGAGTAAATTTATATTTGCTCTTTTGTCATTCTACTGTACGTCAAAGACCGAACTAAAACAAGACATCTCACACTATTAATTAACATCATATAAATGAGAGGATTTTAGTTTGACTGCACCACCGCGGCATAGGATATGTTCCGATTGCGGGAGTTGTCTCAAAAAAAAGGAAATGTATTTTAATTTAGTCATGTGAACAACACAATTGGCACCATTGCTGCTCAGAATTACTCTTGCTATTTTTCTAACCCTTATTCCAAGACGATGCGTATACGACGATTCAGTGATTGTGTCATATCTCCCGAATTTTTTAAGGCTTTGTTTACATAAACCTCAAACTTTTTTATTTAGCTCAAACCACAATTTTGAAAGAAAACGTGATTGAATGGATGAAAAGACTTAAAATGTCGCGCTAAAACACTAGCAATTCATTACGTCATTAACCGATTAGCAGATTTTTTATTTATTTAAAATAGACAAGGCATTAAGAATATAGCCTGTGTGGCGGGAAGCTTTTATAAACAAAAATCGGCGTAGTAGTAAGCGGCGTAGCGATCGCTTAAACCACTACACCATCCGTGCAGTCAATCGTCTACGGCAACCATTATATAATATTAAGTTAGAATTACGATCTAAACTGACAGCTGTCAGCTTGTTCATCGGTTACTGACGTATTGGATCTGATTAGCGTTATTTTTAAATGTTCAATGAATTATATATTATACTTTCAGGTTTTTTTAAAATGAGGACTAGATGTTAAAAGTTCAGAATTAATTATTTAGTTATAAAAAGTACCAGCGTCAATTTTAAGATCAAAATTTGAATATTCCAAGCTGCATCAAAAAGTCGCTTTCGAAGTTTACGTACACTGGGATAGGTCTTTAAAGCAAACATCACAATACAATGATGTCTTATGGCCCTCTTGAAACAACCCTCCTCGTGCACAAACAAGCAAATTCGTATCTATCGTAATACCGCTCTACAACCCAACCCTAAACGACAAAGCATCGACAAGGTCCCAAAATCCCACCTCAGTGAGTGGTCTCCTGTATCATAACCGTACTGTGACGTCATCGTCCAGGGTCGTGTCCAGTTCGCAGCAGGACGCCAACTCTTCGAAGGACATACCGTCGGCCGTCAGAGATACTGATGAAATGCTCTTGAATAATGCTTCAGTGTCAAGGTCTTCTGGTAGTTTGGTTAAAAACTGGGCCGCGGAGATAAAGTCCATGTCTTTCAGCTCGTCTTGGTAGAGATGGAGCACTCCTGTGAAACAAAATTTTTATTGTAATATTTTTTTTCCCTAATATAAACATTTTTTTGTGAAACATTTAATGCGGAAGGCATTCATTTAATCGATCTAAGTGGCGTGCAATGGGAGAGGCCTATGTCCAGCAGTGGACTGCGATAGGCTGATGATGATGATGATTTAATGAGCCTCCGGGTCAGACCGGCGTCGCCATGCTATGTAATGCAGTGTGTTGCTGCGGTGGTGTTGTATCGATATAAATGTACCTATAATAAATAAACAATCAATTGTTTCTTTCAAAAAAATTGAATATTACATTTTCTAATTATTGTTTCTTTCCATAAGCTATTCTCTTATAATCATGATTTCTATAAAATAATTTCGATGTCTCACATGGTAGACGTGAGCGACGCGGCTCAATTTTTGTCGAGCCGAGCAATTTTATCACTGTTACTACAAGTATAAAGTAGCACACCCGACCGTCAAGAACACATGAGACTCACCGAGCGCGGTGTTGAAGAGGAAGGTGTCGCCGTCCCTGAGGAAGACGTCCCAGACGCGGCAGGCGGCGTCGAGCGGCATGGCCTTGGCGAAGGCGGTGTAGAGCCACTCCACGAGGTACAGCTCGGGCGCCACGCGCCCGCCCAGCCACGGCAGCCACGCGTGCACCACGCGCCCGAACGCCTTCCACAGGCGCTGCGCAACGGACGACACTTATACACTTATACACATACCTTACACACCGACTATATCTAATATATAAAATTCTCGTGTCACGGTGTTAGAAGTTGAACTCCTCCGAAACGGCTAGACCGATTTTCGATTTTGAGTGCATATCGGGTAGGTCTGAGAATCGGCCAACATTTTTTTTTTTTGACAATTTTTTTTGAAATAATGTTTATGGCAAAACAACGTTTGCGGGGTCATCTAGTTTATATATAAAACCGACGGAACCGATCCCATTACCGATCCCGTTGGTAATTCACATATTTTTTTCTGCATTTGACTTCACGGATGACGTAGCGGTTTAAGCGGTCACCTCACCGCTTCCTACTACGCTGAGTGTTGTGGGTTGTCGATCCCCACATGGGACGACACGTTGTGTGATCTACAAATTGTTGTTCTGAGTCTGGGTTTTCTTTGTGTCCATTTCATGAATGTTTGTAAAGTCCCCCATGACATAGTAAATATTCCTAGTGCGGGGGTTGTCTTTAAATGAAAAAAAACTTTACTTTCTTTACCCATTGAAATGATACTATAATACACATAATTTTTGCATCGTTCGTTCGTCATAATTTTAGCGAAACCTCAAAGCTTTCAATATCTTATATGTTAAAATGTTATCAGCGAGTAGCATATGCTACTTTTTGCCGCGATAACCAACATATACGCGAGCGAAGCCGCTGACAAAAGCTAGCTTTATATACATTCCAAAATATCTAATATGTAGGATGCTGAGTCAGGATAGTGTGCTATATGATACATCTTAACGAATGCAACGAGAACTATAGTCCATTCGCATTAAGAAAATAGTGACGCATCGATCAAACCGCGCTCTAACGAATCAGCTTCCAAGAAAATTATCGTTTCGTACGAAAACTTATAAAAAAATGCGTGACTCCATCGGTGCGTCACTATCGTCTTAACGCGTATGAGCTATAGTAAACTATATCGTAAATGGAAACTTACTTGCATAGTGGCTCCGTCTCTTGTGAAGGCAGCTCTTAACACGGGCCCGTCGAGCAAGTTCGCGAAACAGACGAACGCTTGTGGCGCCTCCATATTCAGTATCAACACTGCAGCGATGAATGACATACCCTGTAATTTTCATATATTATTATTATTTAGATATTTTGTAAGCTATTCAGCATAGTAATTGCATCGTAGGGTACATGTTTCGTTTCAAGCAGTTAGGTACATACGTTTAACTAGTACCTACCTTACTGTCTGAAAGATCTTAAATAATGCAGCTTATCTCTCTGGTACAATGACACCTTAAAGTAAGTACCATCGAACGGGCGGATTAACACGACCGAAGTGTCGCACAATCACTATAATAAGTAAAAGTTTTGTGAAATGAAATAGGGTTTTGTCTGGTCGTAACTGCAAATAACATTGATGTATTGTTGCATGTCCTGCGAGCCATTTTGCACCTTACCACATATTGGTGAAAGTCGTTATTTGTTTATATTTAAAAAGTACATCTTTTGTACTTGTACTATTATATATTCACAAACGACGAAGGCTAACTTTAACTTACAAAAGGGAACTCAAAAATGGTGTTCATAAAATAAAAAGCATCGGGGAAATAAATATTATTGAGAATTTTAATGATTGCCGGTAAAGTATCTCTTAATGTTTGTTTATCACCATAATAATACAAAGAGTAGATTTGACTTTATCGGGAATATTTACAAAACCGCATGCGGGCAGTATGCAATGCAGCATAAAACTGTCATGCACAGCTCAAATATTTGTATAATAATTAATATTACATGTCATAATAGTGTTTATTGTATTCTTGACAACAATAAAAGTATCATTAAACAATAATGTTAGCTATTTAAGTTTAAAATCTTTAAAAGAAATAACTTTTGCAATATAAATTAATAACTCAGATTAAATTATATTAAAGACCGATCAACGCCCATAAGAGTCAAAAGCATCTAAAAATTATTAAAATGCTTCGTAGACATCTACGACTTTATTTATGTATTAACGGAACTATAAAGAAAACAAATTGGCCTAAACTAGAATGTGATCTTTCAGAGAACGAATGAATACTACCCTTACAGAGTTCGTGAATAACTGAGTAAGGATAGATGTTTTAATAACAGCGGTTCCCGGATCCCTCCTATTACAGACTCAGAGTGGCACACCGTGTGGTTATAGTCGGTCCGATTCCGACATACCACCCCGCCGCAAATCCCGGTGAGGGACGGCCCCGGGAGGGGTTCCACACGTAAAAAAAATAAAAATGTGTATGAATCTAATAGACTGAATGGCCGAAAAAAATAGGATACTAATAACAGGTGTATAGTGTACAAGTTATAACTGCAGATTACGATGGGGCGAGAAAAACAATTCAAGGAAAAAGAAAATGTATACGAAAGATACAAAGCGAAGTGACGCGATGAGTCACGGTTAACTACTCATTATGTGTTTCCGTCATGAGTATTTCCGTACCAGCTGCAAACTATATTTTAAATATGTTAGTCACTTGATGACACAAACATAAGGACATCGTCTACTCTCCATGATTTGTCTTCTACTCTTTGTAATAGTTACACTCACAGCTTTGGTACTAAAATTATACTTAATATTAGTACCATTATTAGTACAGTATTCATTTAGTATAGGTACTTCAACATTTCTATTCTATTTGTAATTAATTGATATGACTATTTTAACATTTATACTTTTTTTTTTTACTAGCAGACACGCGCAACTCAGTCTGTGTCTCTTAAAAGAAAAAAATTTGCCCCGTTTTGGTACTATTTTTCATTGTTCCTCGTCGATTGATGTCGTAGCGTGTAGTTGTATAGCTTTTCAATTCGAACCAGTAGTTTTTGAGATTAGTTTAACAAAATAAAATCTTATAATATTAATAGTGAAGTGTATGTGTACAGAAATTAACGCGATTACGTAATAGATATTACCTACAATAGGAGTCCCTGGATGGTATTTTTTTATTAAGTTGCTCTGACTGTGCTGATCACAGTCAGTCTATGAACACGGGCAATGCATTTTGTGGTCGCGTTTATTACCGTTTAAATACATAATTATAAAGCGAAAGATATTTATAGTATTTGTATGGTGAGAGTAACATCCATATAAAAATTACCACACTCACAAAAACGCAAAATTGTAATTGGAATAAGGACTCTGGCAACTATTACAGAACTATAAATTAAAAAAAAATGTAGTAACTATACCTGGACATATCCAATATCAGGCCTATAACAGACATACGCCGCCAGCAGTTCATGTAGTACATCAAAATACGGCCCCCCAGGTTGAAAAATGCACAAGTGTGGAAATGTCCTAGCAATATCCAACTGGATTAACTCCATGGAACATTCATCACTATACTCGATTAAATTAGGGTTGGATTTCGAGCAGCACTTTTTAGGCTCATTCTCCTGGGTCTTCAAGTTTTGCTCGCTATAGTTTCTAGGGATGCCAAGACGTGGTTTATGTTCTTCTTCGACTTTTATTCTGTCATCAGTTTTGCCTAGAATGTCATCTAATTTGTTAGTTTTTTCTTCCGTTGTTTCTTTCTTACAGCTGCAGGTGTTCTGGTTAACTTTTAACCGTTTCCGCCTAAGTTGTGCTTCGTGTAATCGTTGCTTAGCTTTAGCGACATAATCTTGGTACATCTCGTGGGTGATCTTCAATTTATTTTCTATGGCCAGTTGCCACACTTTGCCGCGAACTGCTGGTGGAATCCCACTCCACCACAGTTCTAGAGTGCGTTTCGCGTTTTTCCTGTAAGACAAATATTGAATTATTGAGACTAAATTACATATACACATTACAGATACAAAACATTGTTTTTTTTTTTCTACTCAGCTCAGTAGAGTAGCACTCATTCCCTTATCGGCAAACGATTATTTGTAGCAATAAACCATAGCAATATCAGAGGTATCACTAGTGCTAATGGCCTACTGTGACACGATTTTCATTCATCACGATTTCATATTCATACAAGCCTTTGGTGTCGTGGAGGGACTTCCTTTTCTAAAAGTACTGAACAACAAGTCGGAAAATGTTAACTCTTTATATGTGATTATTTAAAATTAAAATGATAAAAACAGAGCTTGAGGTAGCCGATAAAGTTGTCCCTGAGTGCTGGTGTCAGCTGATACTTACATACTCATTACGTGCTAAAATGGTAAATATTGTAATACAATTACGACTACTAAATGACTACTTCTTAGGAATTAACGTTACATTTACATTACAAAGTACTACTTTACATTACAAAGTATTAACTTTACAAGGTTTAATTGTTTGTTTAATTTAACTGCACGGATGGCGTAGTGGTTTAAGCGGTCGCCGCGCCGCTTCCTACTACGCTGAGTGTTGTGGGTCCGATCCCCACATGGGACGACACTTTGTGTGATCTACAAATTTTTGTTCTGATTCTGGGTGTCCTTGTGTCCGTTTCATGTATGTTTGTAAAGTCTCCCGCGACACAGGATTTATTCCTAGTGCGGGAGTTCTCTTTATTGAAATGAATTTAATTTCGTACCTAAAAACGTCAATAGAAAACTATAAGTGCAATGAATCCACAATACCTACTCGCTAAACAATCATACACTTGTTTTATGGTATAGAAATCTCCGAGAATCATCACTTTACCAAGCAAACAATGGGCTCGTATGCCAGACTCGTACAGACAAACAAAACCATTTTTACGTTACATAACACACACACATTTGTCGAAATTACCCATCGTAATATTTATTTCGTTAAGAAAAATTGCTTGTTTTAACGTGATAGGCTTTCTAAAAATGAAAAATTATGTGTCTTTCTTCCTTTGTTTAAACCATAAACATTCTTGAGAATAGTCGTAAACCATCGGCAACAATAAAAAAATATGCTATTCTCAATTCCCAATTTTAAAAAAAAGATTAATTTCAACTACAAAAAATCGTCAACCGTTTATCCAAATCCGATCTGTTTTTTTTTAATATGTTGTTTTCATTTTTGTTACTGGACACAAACATTATCGTTCGTATCGTTAACATATATATACTATAATTTAAACAATGTAAATCTAAGCCAGATACATAATAACACACATTACTATGATCAAGCCTAGAGCCTTACAATAGACAATGTACGTATTGAGAGTAGCGCACGCGCAGCGTATGGCGACATGTAAAACATTACATTGTTCAGAACAATGAGTATGACCTGCTTGTCTATTTGCTGTAGTGTATGAATGCCAAGTGGTTGGATTGATAACGGTTAATAATAATAACGTTACATGGAGATTTTAGATACATTTTTAATGTAGTTTCTTCATAATAAGTTTAGTAGCATCAATTTAAAGTGAAGAAAAGAGAAAACGTCTCAGATACATAGTAAATAATTTTTGTCTTATTTGTGTCAGCGTACAGCCTCGTATTGCAATTTCAAGCGAGATTTACATACATCTAGATATAAGCATTTTCAGAATTCACAAGGGTTTTATACGTGCAACCATTAAATGAGCGAAACAAGGTAGTAAGTACACACATACAATCTGTAACTGGCAATAGGCAACGGGAAGATGTAACAACAATGAGAGCCATGACAATATAAGATTTTTCTCATACCGCTGAGAATAATATATACAGTATACAGGTGACGACACGCAGGCCTAACGCAATATCATTTTCCTCGTTTTCTCGTTTTTTGAACTTAACAAGTTCAAGTAAGTTCTAGCCTGATTGTTTGAGCATGGATCAATTTTTTTTAATAAAATAAAATTTAACCACCAATATTTGCATCGTTTTTATAGCTGTTATGGTTATACTAACGTATTTTGCCAATCCGGTAGTATGCTCTGCGTCCACTCTTTAGCGTGCCTGGCGAGGCGCTCCTCGAGGCGTAGAGACTCCTGCATCCGCGCATGCCTCGCAGCCGCCTCGCGTTCTACTCGCCTCTTCGCTGCCTCCACCATGCGAGCATGTTCTGCCTTGTGACGGAGAGCTTCCTCAGTGCATTTAGCTGGCAAGTTTGAAGGCCTGGAAAAAAATTGAAAAGATAAGATATAATTAATAATTACACAAGTACACGTAAATACAGGTAGATAAAAATTCGGTAATTACTTATTTGATTTGCATAGATTTGGTTGTATCATGAACTAATATTGATATAGTCAAGTGTAAACATCGGCCTGATCTGCTCGGTCAACACGACCGAAAGATAAGATATATAATTATTACGCACCTACAATCCTGGCAACTAGACTAAAACTAACCTCATGTAAAGAAATGTAACTTAAACTACAAAACTGATGTGGGAATGTCCACATGTATAGAGAAACATATTTCAATGCCATCTAACGAAGACAAACCAAACTACGACATAAATACTAGTCCTGCACTGCACAATAAAAGTTTTCCACAACTATACCACAGTAGACGATGCCCAAATACTGCACCATGCAGTCCTGGTTCACATCTAATGATGATCAATAGTCTAATCTCTTTTAATCACAAGGTAGCAATTAAATCTCCCCAAAAATTGAGAACCTAGTCAAGAAAAAACGGCTATTGTAAAATATCCCAAAAAAAATTAGTAGTCAAGAAAAAACAGTTATCGTAAAGGTTGACACCAACTACACATAGCATAACACACTAGTGTTTCGGTACACACAATCTTTCGGTACAAATAAGAAGGTCCGTGGGGTGACGGATTAAGAATACGGAGGGTCATAGCCCCTATTCAACGCGGCGTCGTAAGAGACGACTAAGGGAGCCAACTACGCAGAACAACAGCACAGCAATAAAAAGGAAAACTTGAAAGAAACCCTATACCCACACGTCTGACCAGCGTGGTATAGTAGGCCAAAACCTCCTTCTAAGGAGAGGCCTTTGTCCAACAGTGGACTATGAAAGACTGTTGATGATGATGATGATGACAAATAAGAAGCAAGAAAACTAAAAAACACGCCTTAATCAGCGAAATATATACAAAAGTAAAAAGTAAGGAGCTGCACTAATCACCACAAGCCGAATCTCTTGGAAAATGAGTATTTACTAGTATATACTCAAATTTGGGCTTGACTCAAGTAGTATATACTGAACAGTTCGACTAACCACCAGTTACATTTGGATTGGACTCATCAATTGGAAGTAGGTTAATAACTTGACTAGATTTGTTTACACATATAGTAAGCTAGTGAAGCTAATAATGGCATGTTGGAACAGTTAAAATGGAGATCAAACTTATTGTAACATTCATGCATAGTAACCTATCATTCTCACTATGACGACGCAACACCATATTATTATCTGTCATAATAATATCTTGATCTCATTTAATGATCATTTCGATATAATCTATCTATGTACATTATTATAAATAAAAAGAAACCATTTTCTCTTATGGTTTTCAACTCCTTTTATTTGTTTTGATATTAACATTGTAGTAATATCCACAAAAAAAATGCACTACATTTTTTTCTATTTAAATTGTATAAAAATTAGTAGAAAAATATGTGTGTTCACCTATCCATGTACATAAAGTTTTTGCTATGACAGGGAAAATATTCAAACTTAATGAACCAGCAGACGATTTCTAAATTATTTGTAGCTGTTAGATCAATTATAAAAACAAAGAAATCTAGTGCATAACATCATCGTGATGTTGGCAATTGGATATGATTTTATACTAAACTAATCTATACTAGTCTAGCACCTGTCTTGACAGGTGCACTGCCAAAATGAAAGGCCTTTGCAAACCACTATTGCGCGGTCAAGTTCTCTAGCCGAGGTTCAGAATCTCTTTGTAGCAGGAACGTATAAATCTATTGAAATAAACTTTTATTACAATAAAAGAGCCTTCTTCTGTACGCTAGTTGTTGAAATAAAAATTCTGGTTCACTTTCTAAGCTTTTTTTAGATAATGTTTTTTTTTTCGAGAGATGCTAATTCAATTAAAATGATTTATTTAAATGTTTATTTTGAGGTAAGAAAAATGAAATGCGCATAAATGTTTAATGCATTATAATGAAATTCTATTCACAATTTACGATTAATGTATTGGCGAATACCGCACTGTGCCAGGCTTTGTACTATATATTTATATGAGTACGTCTCGAATACACAGGGCCATAACGTATATTATAATATAAACACATCCACAAGAGCACGTATCTTATCTAAGAATAACTCAAGTCTTGTTTAATGAAATTGCATTCTCAGAAACTACTTTAACTATATATATATATGAAATTTAGATTCAGATAAACTATCAGAAACAATCGCAGTGTATATAATGTCACGTTTACGCTTGTAGTCCTACCCCGCATTAAATTCCACGTTTATCATTAGTACACAACAGGAAGAACAAAATTATCAAGATTAAATTATCAACAAAAGTATTTTTAGAACAATGGCAGAAACATATTTACCTAAACCTTAAGCGTTTAATAAAATTGATTCCACAGTAAACTCAATAAATATTTTTCAATGATTTGTTATTGCACCACCATGTTTTGTACAAGTCTTATAAGAGATAGTATATTTTTGAAGAACTTATTAGATCTAAGTACGAAATGTCTGACTTATTCGCCATCACATATAACTGACTAGGGTTGCATGATGGTATTATTATATTATGGAACGTTTTATCGATAATCGATTTTATAGCTTTAGCTGGAATACAAAAAAAAGAAAATCAAAAACAAAAATAAAATCTAGACGCATTTCTAGAAAACAATATTGTCTATATTTTAGTCATAAATAATGTATTATACAATATTAGTAATGTTAGTACTTGGCCTCGAAATATTCAAAATCCAATATGTTTTTTCCTAGACTTCTTTTGCAATGTTTGTTATGAGAATTGTCAAAAATAAATTCTCAATGGCTTTAGGCATTTTAAATACTAGCGATACCAACTTCAAATAAAATGATTTATGGGGACCCGCGATTGTCCTTTATCTCAAATACTTTATTTTACCTCGGCTGTGCCTAGTCCTCAAGTTCAAATAGAAAGCGCAATCAACAAAAAGGCAATTGAAATCAAATATATCCTTTACTGAGGACTGAAGATTAACTATAAAGGACAATAGGAAAATTAACTATAAAAAAGTACTAACAACTTCAATGCAGGCGCATTGAAGTCATCATCCTGTAAAGACACTGTAATTGTTTTTAATAAATAAATGAAATAAATAAATCATCATCAGTCATTGCATCACGATGAATTATTATTATATTAAACTGGATTGTTCATTCATATAATTTTTGATACATTTTGATTTGATGATATATTCAAAATTCAATGGGACCAAACGGAAACTATACCTTCATAAAGAAAAACTAATATACCAAATTGGTGTGTAGATCACGGTGGGAAAGAGTAGAGACGGAGAAAGGAAAATTCACGAATAGGTATACTAAAAAGAGTTTTTATCTATTTTTACGATAGCAATATATTAAGCAGTACGAGTAAATTGACGTGTAATATGAAAACGGTATAAAATATCTATAATTGCGAATATAAAAATACAACTGCAAGCAAGTACGTTTGAAGTGGTCTGGAAATTCGAGTAGCGTTAGCTGGAGCGCGATGAGTGGCAGATTAAATAAAGTTCGCCATTACTGCGAGCCCTAGAGCGGTCACGAGCTGGAAATTGCAGAGGGCAACTCTGTCATTACCATTACATTGGTATTTCCGCTTCTGTGGAGTTTAAAAATAAAACAATCACCTTTTAGCACGATTTTACTACCTCTGGATTTATGGTAACTAATCTCTGGTTATGGTATGTCTGGTATGCATGATAACCCCAGATCTGAGTGTATGTATTAGGTTATTACTTCTCAGTGGCGTCTTGAGTGTATAAGATTAGTTTCTTTTAACCTTAATATTATATATTGGTTTATTTTCTTTTCTTTTCTCTCTAGGTGTAGTAAAAAGCGCTTGAAAGAAGAAATTCCACCTAATAATTATTAGAATACACTATAATCCATCTCAAGAGTGTTTAACTACTTACAACCTACTATAACTTATAATAATATATAAATAATAAAATAAACTTTATTCTGAAAGAGAACAGCATACAACTTAATATAAGTTAAGTTAAGTAACTGAATGTAACTTGTATCCACAAGCACTGTACATATCGGTTTATCTCATGGAATATAAGCATTAAGACATTAGAGCTATAATATCAAGAGAAATTGTCTAAGAGAAGTATATTTTCTGCTAGCATTAATAGTCAACTAGCAGAGACAAATTATGCTACATTAGCCGCCTTAGAACAACTTCAAACATGCATTATAGCCATTTGCAGACAAAATTGCGTGAATCCGGTTTTTAGGACATACTAATTTTAGCTATTTAAATTTAAAGCACGAGCTACGTGTAATGTGTTCGTGAGCCCTCGTATGAAGCTATAGGTATAGTAACGTCCTTAGCTTCGTATTTAATTTCATTTTGGTAATGAGCCACAGCACGAACATTAAAGTGAGCATAAAGCTACAACGGCTTGTTTCTAGGTACATCAAGAAGCATTTTCATGACCCAATGTGCTTTAGAATATTTTAAAAAGCTGCATTAATAAAAAACAAAGAATCGCCCAAGGCGTTGGAAGGAGAAGTAAACGAATCAATTCTATACACAAGCGGATACAAAACCTACTATACTTTCCATTCTCAAAAGGATAGTTCTGGGTCCGCAAAAATAGGAATTCATACTTCCATACTTACATTATAAATGTGAAAGTGGGTTTGTTTGTAACGCTTTCACGCTTAGTCCACTAAACTGACTTTAAAAATTCTTTCACCAATGGAAAGCTACATTATCAGCGAGTAACATACGTAACGACATACACGCGGGCAGAGCGGGGACCAAAAGCTAGTACTCAATAAAGTTAAAGTAAACACTGCACTAATCAACTAATGCAAAGTACTATTGATTATTTACACGACGACATCATTGTGGATATGAGTTTCCTGTACTTAGGAGATAAGGATAGGATAGGATTATTCATTCCGTGATTCCGTGTTGGTTT